TGGAGGTTCATTGGATCGCTTGTGTTCCAAAGAGGGCTAGTTTCTATTATACGAGCCTGATAACGAGATGTGGGGAGGTAATTTTTTATGGTTATGGCAATTGTGATAAGTTCTAAACTAAAGCACTCGTCGAACAGCTGGTCTAACTCCGTTTCAAATTCATTCTGCAGTCGTTTCTCAAGGAATGGGAGAATTTGCAAAACGGAAGCAGAATTCCTACTTTGCGCTCCAAGGTTCTGTTTTACAGGGAGTCGTTGGTTGAGAGGATGAGAGTGGCCGTGCCAGCGTAATGGGCGCAAGGCCAGGTAAGAAGGATGTGGGGGTTCGAGTAACGTTTGCAGTTCGACGTTTGTCTATAACCCAGTATTCCCACAGCAACCTCGGTGTGCGCATTGAAACCTTAATTATCATATCGAAGCTACTGTTGTTCCATCAACTGACTTGAAAATTTATGGAGAAATTCATTTTATTGCGTAGCTACAGGAGCAGAAATTATTCATCACTTTCCCTGTAGAGGCAAACTACTTTCATGATATCTCCTTGAAGGAAGCTGTTGCATCCAAACTCCGGTCGTACCGAGCGCATATTAGCAACCTGAACAATAACGATGAGGCAGAAACTGAGCAGCATCAGGGCACAGCTCTCATGTATCCAAGAGAGGGGCTCAATGAACGAAAGTACCCGCCTATCGAGCCTACGTATAAGAAGCAGATACCAACGGAATATTCAGAGTTATGAGAGTGGTACTTTCTGATGTTTTACACGTAATATGTCGTGCGTAACAGAGTACTTTCTACACTCACATTATAAGCATTATCTTTCAGGTAAAAGATGGTTCGGCGCGCTTTCTCCTGACGGTCGACGGTGCTTGACCAGCGAATCTCCTTAACAAAGGAAATTGCGGGAAGTGCGGAATAATTCATTTTCATCTGAGCAAATACCAACCTCTCCGCCTCGAGTTTGAAATCACCTGTGAATATATTAGCACCCTTTGCTACATCACAAGCCTCACTAGCAAGATCATTTTTCCAAACCTGGAGACAAAAAGACTTTTCAGCGAAGCAATGTGGAAGTTTAAGTGAGGAACACAAGACTTCTCCAAAAAGCAAGGCTCAGTGCTCTTCGAACCATTCACTCGATGTGGCGGTGCGAGGAATGAAAGTACTCACCAGGCTGGGGTTGAATTGTAGGTTGCGCCGTATGTAATGCTCACTCAATCCATGGTAGTCGACGCAACCAGCTAAAAAACATTTTCCTTCGAAGGTCCTCAGGTGAACGGTCTCGTGACATTATCAGAAATGGAAGGAGAAAGTTTCTGATACTGCAACGGAGAAACTTGCACTTCACAGTCAGCGTTAGCGTTGACCAGGAAGAGCCAGAAGACAGTTAGAGTGAAAAGCATTGTAATTCCGACGTAAACACGCCATTCGATTCCCTTTTATAGGATTCTAACCATATTTTTCGCCTCAAATGAGGAATGGATTCACCCTGATTCATTTCATACATAGTGTTGTTCTTCAAAGAAAATCGGTCGAGGCCACGTGGCGTGCGGGTCTCTCCATTGTTCGCTCAATATTCGCCTGCTGTCAGCTCCAGTAGGAAACCAACGGGAAAGAGAATGCTCGAGGAAGTTTTTATGTAAGGCAATATGATATCGAATGTGATGTAAGGCAGCCTTGATAACTTGCAACGACGTTGACGACGCCGATGCGACAATGCAACCGGCCACTACGTTAAGAAGAGTAGATACGTATCGAAGATGATATCGTTTATGTCGAATCTATACCTATGAGTAGATGCGATGCAATTATTTTGAGTTTGACGTACCACTGACCAAAACCGTGGCTAAAAGTTGATCTCGAGGGGTAGTCAATGTCCCTATGATGGAAATTTCACTTCTTATAGGCATGGTCCCGTTTTTCTCAGGCATGAAGCCTTCTTTCTAGGTGCACACACAGCGGTGCCGTTTAGCAAGATTACTGCGTGAGAGCAAATGTCAAAATCATGATCAGGGTCGGGGACTCTCCTGACTTTTGATTAAAAGAACTCTTTAAACACGAAAAAATTTTGCTTGAGATATTTTCGTGACTGTCTTTGGTTTCTGTTGTGTGTTGTCACCCTACTGATGTATACAGTGCATCATGACAAGGATTCCGAAAATTTTGTTCATATAAACCACAAAGGAAAACCCATCATTGAAACTCGTGCAATAAGGAAGGAAGTAAGTGTTCGTCCAAACTTAAAAACCGTTGAGGAGCTTGAATGAGTTCACTTTCTGTTCTCTCGGTGGTTGTTAGCAAAATCTTCTTTGAAATAGCGGGCGGTACGGTAGGCCAAAGTCTCAGCTTTCTGTACTACGATACTCACACCTATGTCAAGCATGTAGGGACCTTCAGGCGCAACATCTTTCTATATGGCTGACCGGCGGCCTGCTACGTCATCGTCATGGCTGAGTGCTGCTTTTTTTCTGTGAACTTGCCCAAGGTTTGAGTCACAGTGCAATTTTCATCGTTCACTGGGAGCTCACTCAGAAAACTGCAATCAGAAAAATGTTTCAGGCTGGATGCGATGGCTACCACAGAGTGAGTAGTACCACACGACGCGCAATCGTCTCTTTTGATTTGTAATTGTCTGATGAATGAAATTTTTATGCAAAATCATTGGCGACCAGTTCGCGAAGTAGTAATAGGTATGGATCCGACGTAAACGACCTTACCTGCGGACGTGAGTGAGGTAGCTGACGTGACCAGCGCAACCGGTGACAACCCTGAAGAGTGGGAAGATAGGTATAGATTCGACATAAACGACATCATCTTCGATACGTATCTAATATTTTTAACGTAGTGGCCGGTTGCATTGTCGCATCGGCGTCGTCAACGTCGTTGCAAGTTATCAAGGCTGCCTTACATCACATTCGATATCATATTGCCTTACATAAAAACTTCCTCGAGCATTCTCTTTCCCGTTGGTTTCCTACTGGAGCTGACAGCAGGCGAATATTGAGCGAACAATGGAGAGACCCGCACGCCACGTGGCCTCGAACGATTTTCTGGGAAGAACAACACTATGTATGAAATGAATCAGGGCGAATCCAATCCTCATTTGAGGCGAAAAATATGGTTAGAATCCTATAAAAGGGAATCGAATGGCGTGTTTACGTCGGAATTACAATGCTTTTCGCTCTAACTGTCTTCTGGCTCTTCCTGGTCAACGCTAACGCTGACTGTAAGTGCAAGTTCTCCGTTGCAGTATCAGAAACTTTCTCCTTCCATTTCTGATAATGTCACGAGACCGTTCACCTGAGGACCTTCGAAGGAAAATGTTTTTTAGCTGGTTGCGTCGACTACCATGGATTGAGTGAGCATTACATACGGCGCAACCTACAATTCAACCCCAGCCTGGTGAGTACTTTCATCCTCGCACCGCCACATCGAGTGAAAGGTTCCAAGAGCACTGAGCCTTGCTTTTTGGAGAAGTCTTGTGTTCCTCACTTAAACTTCCACATTGCTTCGCTGAAAAGTTTTTTGTCTCCAGGTTTGGAAAAATGATCTTGCTAGTGAGGCTTGTGATGTAGCAAAGGGTGCTAATATATTCACAGGTGATTTCAAACTCGAGGCGGAGAGGTTGGTATTTGCTCAGATGACATGAATTATTCCGCACTTTCCGCAAACTCCTTTGTTAAGGAGATTCAAAGCTGGTCAAGCACCGTCGACCGTCAGGGAGAAAGCGCGCCGAACCATCTTTTACCTGAAAGATAATGCTTATAATGTGAGTGTAGTAAGTACTCTGTTACGCACGACATATTACGTGTAAAACATCAGAAAGTACCACTCTCATAACTCTGAATATTCCGGTGGTATCTGCTTCTTATACGTAGGCTCGATAGGCGGGTACTTTCGTTCATTGAGCCCCTCTCTTGGATACATGAGAGCTGTGCCCTGATGCTGCTCAGTTTCTGCCTCATCGTTATTGTTCAGGTTGCTAATATGCGCTCGGTACGACCGGAGTTTGGATGCAACAGCTTCCTTCAAGGAGATATCATGAAAGTAGTTTGCCTCTACAGGGAAAGTGATGAATAATTTCTGCTCCTGTAGCTACGCAATAAAATGAATTTCTCCATAAATTTTCAAGTCAGTTGATGGAACAACAGTAGCTTCGATATGATAATTAAGGTTTCAATGCGCACACCGAGGTTGCTGTGGGAATACTGGGTTATAGACAAACGTCGAACTGCAAACGTTACTCGAACCCCCACATCCTTCTTACCTGGCCTTGCGCCCATTACGCTGGCACGGCCACTCTCATCCTCTCAACCAACGACTCCCTGTAAAACAGAACCTTGGAGCGCAAAGTAGGAATTCTGCTTCCGTTTTGCAAATTCTCCCATTCCTTGAGAAACGACTGCAGAATTATTTGAAACGGAGTTAGACCAGCTGTTTAACGAGTGCTTTAGTTTAGAACTTATCACAATTGCCATAACCATAAAAAATTACCTCCCCACATCTCGTTATCAGGCTCGTATAATAGAAACTAGCCCTCTTTGGAAACACAAGCGATCCAATGAACCTCCAATAGACTCAGATAGCGCCTACATCATCGACGGCTCGTTTCTGGACACCTTCGGAAAACATACAGGCGTCTCATATCTCATTTTTTTGGCAGCGAAGAATTTAAAATAAGGAAATGACATTCCCAAATGATTAGTCGTAGCAAATGAGAGTTGAAGGCGAATGAGAATGCAAGTTGTCGGAGAGGAGAGCTGAAGAGTATAGATAGTCACATGCCGTCACCTGTGCTCTCTTAGACGATCGTGCGCTCGAGCGGGGTGCCCACTTATCCCTCCATGCGTACCCGCAATGTGCTATAGATGCCTCATGGGCTCTCTGTGCTCGAACATCATTCCTTTTTTCCAAAAACTCTCCCGAAGAAGTCTCTCCATCTCTCGTCGTCAGGTGCTTGCTTGACGCCACATGGAGTCCAGCCGGTAATCGCAGTGTGTGGACGTCGCTGCGCTTCGATCGTCGCTGGAGCACGGAGCTTCGGAATTTCGCTCTGATTTACGTATAACGGGGAACCTCTCTCTTTCATGATACACTAATGGGCGCTAACCTTATATTCATGCTGTCTCGCAGAGTACAAGCGCCTGAGGCGTGAGCCAAAAGAAGACCAGAAAGACCGCGTCTCTATTTTTTCTCCTCCATGCTCTAGAAACTCTTGAAGCACCACTCACTCCTGCTCAGCGCTCTGTTAGACCAACATATTGATTTTCCGACGAGGAACACCTAGCCGGAGCATTCGAACAGACGCTACAAATTTCGAGGCACACGTCGCACGGACCCACACGCGAAGACTTAATTAGCGGATGTATAGAGTAGGATAGTGGGAATGAATTAGTAAAGTAAGTAAGTAGTAAGGAAGTGGTATTATCGGTTATATATCACCAGTCGGCTAGCGCCCTCCTTCTGATACGGCCCGGCTGCGCCGGGCGAGCGCGGCTTCGCGCGTATTTTCTTTCACATATTTCTAGACTCAACTGATATCCGCCTTTTGTTCTGTACTCCACTTTTTTCCGGTGTCTGAAGTACTCTTGAGCTATTTTACAGATTCTTCGTCTGACTCCGCCCACCTCGGAGCAGGCCCCGCCCACAATGTTTGTGCCCCACAATCCTCACCGACGACCCTCTGCTGACCTTAATCCACGTTTTTTCCGGTCTTCGGAGTGCTCTGGAACCGTTTTACAGACCTTTTTGTCTGGCTCGCCTTATCTTCGGATGCAGCTCCGCCCACAGTGTTGTGCCCCAAATCCTCACGTTTCTACCGCTCTGTGACCCTGAATCACCTTTATTCCGATCTTTCGAGTGCTCTGGAGCCGCGTTACAGAACCTCTTTTTGTTTGCTCCCCCAACCTCGGGGCTGGCCACCGCTCACATATATGTCTACCCCGACGTTTTCTTCAATCGCGACCCCATTGCTGAACCATTGAAAGATTATATCACTTTATTCCGATCTTCGGAGTGCTCTGGAGCCGTTTTACAGACCTTTTTTGTCTGGCTCCGCCCACCTCGGAGCAGGCTCCGCCCACAATGTTTTTGCCCCACAACCCTCACCGGCGACCTCTGCTGACCTTTGTTCACTTTTTTCCGGTGTCTGGAGTGTTCTGGAACCGAGCTACAAACTTTTAAAATGAATACCCTGCGATTTAGGGCAAGCTCCGCCCACTGTGGGCGGGTCTCAACACACTTTGAGCGTGCCCTATATTCGCCAGATATTTACATTCTACACTGAGTTTTTGCGACTTCCAAACATCTCGCGAACCGGGTTGCTGAATTTTGCGAGAAGCACCGCCCACCTTGAGTACGCCCCGCCCATTTTGGATGTGTCTGCCGCAGTTAGTCTGGCGACTCCATATAACCTTATTCTCTTTTTCCCCATCTTTAAGCTGCTCCGGAAGCGAGTTATGAACATTTTTCTGCGGAACCCCAAACTTTCAGCGAGTGCCCCGCGGCACTCCCTTTAGAGATGAGGAATCGCAGAACTAGCTATCGCCGACGGTAGCAACCATTTGGGGCACTGTGTAGGGTTATCTCCCACTAACTTCATCTAATAAACTACTGCTCAGTTTCACTTTACTCCCCATTTTGTGTGGTTTTTCGTACGCGTTTTGAGTTTTTGCTCTTGGCACCGTTCACTTTGACGAACGCCGCGCCCGTCAGGGATGTGCTTCAGTGATTTCAACCGCCAACAGATTGCATATCATTTGCCACTTTTTCCGCTCTTGGGGCTCTTTTGGAGCCAAACTGCGATTTTTGAAATTTGTAGCTCACAACTGTGCGCACGCCACAAAGGGCGGAGCCTGGCTTTATTCATTTGTGTTCCGTACATCTTGGCCTCATGCGCTACCCAAGCCACACCATTACGCGCTCACCCCTTCAATGGCTCTTCAGGTGATTCCGAATTTCCGGACAGACAGACAGACAGACAGACAGACAGACAGACAGACAGACAGACAGACAGACAGACAGACAGACAGACAGACGTTGCCGTTTATATATAGTAGGATTGTTGTTCATTATTATTATTATTATTATTATATTATTATTATTATTATTATTATTATTATTATTATTATTATTATTATTATTATTATTATTATTATTATTATTATTATTATTATTATTATTATTATTATTCTGCCAAGCTTCAAGCTGAATACTCCCTACAATGGTGGTTGCCCAACAAATGAGGCAGCCAAAGCAAGGCTCCTGCGAAAACCTCAGGTTAGAGATGTCAATAAATTCCACTAGTTAACGTATTGCAGCGCTGTCGCAGTGCGGATCACATATGGTGGGATAGTTGCATAAGTTCATTTTCTATCATTATCAAAAAAGGAGGGTGCAGGGAAAGGATTGGCATTAAGAGCCTGTAATACAAGGTAGTATAGTGGTAAACGATGGAGTGAGAATAGCTCCTTATCTGATTCAATCAGTTGATGATATAAGCTGTCAAACATTATCTATGCCCCATCACTGATTCACGGGGAAGAAGGTAGCAGGCGCGTTGCGGGGGAAGTGAGGCTGCTCGCATGAAAGCTGGACGTGAGTGCAGTGGAACATAGTAGGGAACGGCAGGGGCGAGGGGCCTAGGGAGGAAGGCGGAGTGAGTGGGTAAGGAATGAGGGAAGTGAGGTTAGTGAGGAGGTAAGTTGGGGAGGGGCTGCAGGGTGTGCTTCAACAAGAGTGCACTGTAAGAATGGAAAAAGAAATGTTAGTGAAAGCGACAAATAGAAGAAAGAAAGGAACAGCCGCTATCAGTACCACGAACCAATTCATGTCGTGGCATCAGTTTGAGTTAATATTGAATGTGTCACAACACTGTACACTATATGAGAGAACCATTCGTTGTATACCAAACCATTGCACAAGCGGCTCACAAGACAGCGTGAACATGCACTGGAACAGGGCAGGGAGAGTCGGAGCACTTGGGGAGGATAGGGTTTGTGTGAAGAGAAGAAGAGATTAGAACAAGCCCCGCCCACTGTGGGCGGGTCTCAACACGCCTGAAGTGCCGAGGTGGGCGGAGCCAGACAAAAAGGTCTGTAAAACGGTTCCAGAGCACTCCGAAGACCGGAAAAAGTGGATTAAGGTCAGCAGAGGGTCGCCGGTGAGGATTGTGGGGCACAAACATTGTGGGCGGGGCCTGCTCCGAGGTGGGCGGAGTCAGACGAAGAATCTGTAAAATAGCTCAAGAGTACTTCAGACACCGGAAAAAAGTGGAGTACAGAACAAAAGGCGGATATCAGTTGAGTCTAGAAATATGTGAAAGAAAATACGCGCGGCGAAGCCGCGCTCGCCCGGCGCAGCCGGGCCGTATCAGAAGGAGGCGCGCCGGCGTTAGCCGGCGAGCCGACTGGTGATATATAACCGATAATACCACTTCCTTACTACTTACTTACTTTACTAACTCATTCCCACTATCCTACTCTATACATCCGCTAATTAATCTTCGTGGGTCCGTGCGACGTGTGCCTCGAAATTTGTAGCGTCTGTTCGAATGCTCCGGCTAGGTGTTCCTCGTCGGAAAATCAATATGTTGGTCTAACAGAGCGCTGAGCAGGAGTGAGTGGTGCTTCAAGAGTTTCTAGAGCATGGAGGAGAAAAAATAGAGACGCGGTCTTTCTGGTCTTCTTTTGGCTCACGCCTCAGGCGCTTGTACTCTGCGAGACAGCATGAATATAAGGTTAGCGCCCATTAGTGTATCATGAAAGAGAGAGGTTCCCCGTTATACGTAAATCAGAGCGAAATTCCGAAGCTCCGTGCTCCAGCGACGATCGAAGCGCAGCGACGTCCACACAGTGCGATTACCGGCTGGACTCCATGTGGCGTCAAGCAAGCACCTGACGACGAGAGATGGAGAGACTTCTTCGGGAGAGTTTTTGGAAAAAAGGAATGATGTTCGAGCACAGAGAGCCCATGAGGCATCTATAGCACATTGCAGGCACGCATGGAGGGATAAGTGGGCACCCCGCTCGAGCGCACGATCGTCTAAGAGAGCACAGGTGACGGCATGTGACTATCTATAC